AGGAGGAGGAGGAAGAGGAGCAGGAGAAAGAGGAGGAGGAGGAGGCAGGCTGAGGCTGAGGCTGTGACTGCGACTGCCGTTGCCGCTGCGACTGTCATCGCGGATGCGACTACGACTGCGAGAACAGCAGAATTCGACAACTGGATTTTCATCTGAATCTTAAGGGGAATGCTTTCAGATATGCTTCTACACATCGCTGTTAGGTTGCTTTGCCGGGATAATTTTAGAAAAAGAACCAAAAGCAAAACCAAGAGGGTCTAGCACGCCAGGCACCCCTGCGATGAATCGACAGGGGGCGGCGGATTTAATGGCCCTCGGCCCATCCCACCACCGTACCTAGGTTGTAGGTCAGAGGCCTCTCGTATGCCTCTGGGGATTTCGTGGGATGCCACTCGGAAGTCTCTTGGATGCGGTTTTGGGGGTGGCTTGGAGCCTCTCGGGGCCTCTTGGGAGCCTCTTGGAGCCTGATTTGGGCTTCCTGGGGCCCTCTGAAGCTTCTGGGGGGCCCCTTCGGGGCCTGCTGGCAGTCTCGGGGGTCATCTTGGGGCGGAGAGCACGAAAAGTCAGTTCGAGTTCCCTTTTTGCAGCCCTCTTGGGGCCTTTTTGGGTCCCTCTTGGGGCATCTTAGGCCCCTCTTGGGCCGTCTGGGGACACCTTTGGGCCGTCTTGGGATGTCTCGCAGGCCTCATGGGCCGTCTTGGAGCGAAAAGGCGAGAACGCTAGAATCTTTCAAACACCTACGGATCATATTGGGGGGCCTCTTGGAGCCCTCTTGGGGCTTCTCGGGAGCCTCTTGGGCTGTCTGCAGGGCATCGTGGACAGTCTTGGGGCCCTCTGGGGCCGTCTCGGGGCGCTGTCAGGGCCTTCTGGGCCGTCTCAGGGCGTTCTGAACGGGCACAGCGTCCAGAGGACCGGCAGGAACCACCCAAGCACTCACGGGAGACACCTCGGAGGACCCCAGGACGTCCCGGATCTCCCGGGGTCTGGGCCCTAAGAATTTTCAACATCTTGGCAGCAGCAGCACAGGTGTGAGCCTTGGGGCACTCCATTTCGTGCCAGAGGCACGGTGGCGGAGTATGATTCTTTTATCAATAAGAATAATTACAATACAAATACTAGTAGCACAAACAATCAGTATTGCTACTACTACTACTTTTATTATTACTACTACTACTACTACCACGACGACTACTACTACTACTACTACTACTACTGCTACTACTACTACTACTTACTCCTACTACTACTACTCCCACTACTACTACTACGACTACTACTACGACTACTTCTATTACTACTTCTACTACTACTACTACTACGGCTACTATTACTATTACTAGTACTGCTACTACGAATGCTCATACGAATGCCGATAACAGCAATAACAGTAATAGTATTATTGCTACTAACACTATTACTACTATTACTATTCACCACCATTTTATTTCGTATCATCTTTTCTACTACTACGACTATTGCTGCTGCTGCTACAACTGCGACTACGAACTATTATTCATACTACTACGACAGCCCATGCTACGAACATTAATTGTCTTACTACTATTACTACTACTACTACTACTACTACTACAACGCTTTATAAAATGACTGACGTTGGTAGTACGCAGCATGATAAGAGCAAGCGCGGTACTAGAGTTAGTAATACACAATCTTATGCCTAAGAGACACACTAATACGAAGCCGAATGACACTAGTACCAATGAACCTACTATTGTTACAAGTCGTCTTGCTAACGC